ATTGTGTTGAACAAAAGTGAGATGCTAATTTTTGAAAACTAGGCCTCTCTATGTGGACTGCACTGATCACATTAGTCTAGATCTTGAGTTAACGAGGGTACACATGGTCAGATGATTTGCTGACCTTGCCTACAGCTTGAAACCAATAGCAAATCCAGATATGGTTTCATTGGCCTTTGAAGTCCAGGGCAAAAAGACCACGTGTGACTCCTTATTTCTCCATTGCATCCTGATTATCTCCCTGTCTGGGAACAGAATAAATATGCTCGGGACATTTCCTTTTTCACAGTGAAGAAGTTGAAGTTGGGGCTTTGGCCTCATTTTGTTTAGCTCAGTGCTGCATCTATGATGGCTACAGGCAGCAAGAAGGTCTTTCCTGCTCCCCTTCTTCCTGGCACATGACAAAATCCTGGTGCCTTAAAGTCTGCAGGAAGAGAGGTTTATATAATGTTTTCCAGTTCAATTTCCTTATCATATTATCATCCCCCAACCTGCGTCTCCTTTATTATGCTGTGCACCATATTAAACATCACCATAAAATACATGCACCCTGTTGCCTGCATCTGAGTTTCCTCACTCAAAGGATGCCTAGGCCTGAGAAGGAAAGGTGCTTCAGGAGAGTAAGACACATTTCTCCTTCTGCTTGAACTCATGAGCACAGAGGCTTACATACCCTTAGTGTTTCAAGAATGTTTTCCATGGCACTTGGAAACCAAAGAAGTACCTGTCAGTTCCAGTATTAAGTAGTTTGTTCTAAATAGCTTAGTAAGTATTTATATCCAGACAACTTAGTAACCATGTGAAAAAAAAGGAATACACATAAATTGAAAGTAGTATCAGATGCAGTGGCTCACGCCTGTAATCCCAGCACTTTCACACAGGTGGATCACTTGAGCTCAGGAGTTTAAGACCAGCCTGGGCCCCATGGTGAAACCCTGTATCTACAGAAAACCACAAAAAATCAGCTGGGTGTGGTGGTGTGCACCTGTAGTTCCAGCTACTTGGGGGGCTGAGGTGAGAGAATCGCTTGAGCCCAGGAGGTTGAGGCTGCAGTGAGCTGAGATCATGCCACTATGCCACTGCATTTCAGCTTGGGTGACTAAGTGAGACCCTATCTAAAAAAAAAAATGCACTTCATATGGTATCCAATAGATGTCTTTGGGCTTCCTTTGAAAACATAAAATACTGGCCTGGAGTGGTGACTCACATCTGTAATCTCAGCACTTTGTGAGACCAGGCAGGAGGATAGCTTGGGCCCAGGAGTTTTAAGACCAGCCGGATCAACAAGGTGAGACCCTGTCTCCACAAAAAATGAAAACATTAGCCAGGCATTGTGGCACATGCCTGTGGTCTCAGCTACTTGGAAGGCTGGGGAAGGAGGATACTTGAGCCTGGGAGGTCAAGGCTGCAGTGAGTCGTGGTAGTGCCACTACACTCCAGCCTGGGCAACAGAGCAAGACCCTATCTCAAAAAAACAAACACAAAACAAAACATCCAGTAGAAGCTGGGTGTGGCTATAGGCCCAGCTACTTGGGAGGCTGAGGCAGGAGGATTGCTTGAGCCTAGGAGTTTGAAGACAGCCTGGACAACATAGCAAGACCCTATATCAAAAACAATTTTTAATCCAGTGCTGCCCTTGTGAGTTTGCTGTGGCACCCGGGGCACTTTGGCACACAGCTTGGGAACCAGGGCACTAACAACATTGTTTTAGTATAGTAGGACTATCCATGGAAGCTCAGATCAAGTAGCTTTAGGACCATCCTCCACAAAAAAAGAAAAGAAACATGGGTGTATTAAGTAAAATAAACATTCACTGACTCGAAAGGTTTCAGAGAATAAAAACATAACTAGGATCAAGACAAATTAAATAACTTTGCACAGGATACGTTCATAGTAGACATCAGTACTTTCTTCCCTGTGTAAGTGGAAGAGGAACGATGTATACTGCAATTAATGTTTCATTGTCTTCCTCACAGATGTCCCTAAACCAATGACTGCTTTAGTAGGAAGATTTTTGCCAGTACCAGCAAAATTAAATCTCATTACACAACAAGTGAGTCATTATTTTAATTTAAAAAATACAATTGGGAATTATTGTCTCTTAAAATTTTGATTGTTACAGTTGGAATTACTCAGGAAATAGAATTTATTTTCCATTTTAAAATCAACAGTGAAACACTTACCAAGTATTCAGTCCCTGCTCCACTGTATCAGACATTGGGCTGGAGAGAACCTCAACACAATGATTCTTCACCAACTTGATGAAGTCCTTTTGCCCGTTCCTACAGCCTCCAGACTGGCATCCCGCCATACTTGTAGCTTGCCCTCTGTGGTCCCACCACCAACATGTACCACCCCCTCGGTCCAGAACTCTCCTCACCTTCCTCAGTGCTATGGAAATGCCTTTGTAAAGTTTGCTTTTATGACTACACCATGATATGCGTGCATTACAGATAAGTAGAGGTCAAATCTGCTCTTTTTCTCCAGTCTTGCTATGAAGCATCACCTCCCCGGAAGAACCATCCCTAACTCTCTACCGGAGACCACCAATCACGGTCACAGCGCTGTCTCCCGCTCCGCCCACCGCTCTCACTGCCTCCCGCTCCGCCCGCCGCTCTCACTGTCTTTCGCTTTGTGGTTGCTTGGTCTGTCTGCATCCAGCTATGAGAACGCAGGCTCCATGGGGCCAGAGACCATGTGTGTCTCGTTCATCACTGTAAACTGAGAGTCAGTACAAAGCCTGGCCCATGTAGGGCTCCCACTCACCCTTCGATAAGAGTGGGCACTGGTCTCTGAGCTAAGTGAACCCCAGAAAACAAAACACACAACTCTGCCCTCCTGCAGCTTACCTTTTAGTGCAGGAGAGAGACGATTAGCAAATCTAGTCAAGAAGCCAATTCAATTACATCGTATGGTAGGAGAGCAGAGGAAGGGGATTGGGGGATGGGGGTTTGATGGAGAAAAAGACTAGTGACAGGTTTAAAAAGAGTGATCATGCCTCCGTTTCGAAGATGACATTTGAGCAAAGTCTTTAAAGAGATGAGGGAAGGAGCCATGTGAAGCAAGCTGTGGAATATCGCAGGCGGGCCTTGGATAGGGTCATGCCTGCTGTGGTAGCATGGAGGAGGCCACTGGGGCTGGGACAATGTGAGCTAGGGGAGGGGTCAGGGAAGAAGTTGAGACATTGGAAGAATTGTGGCTTCCACTCTAAAGAGGGGCTGGGGGGGAGGAGGGGTTAAGGAGAAAGGTGAGCCTGTTATGGCAATAATCTCGGGGAGAGATGGTGGCTCAGATCAGGTGGTGGCAGGGCAGGTGGCAAGAAATAGCTTCTAGGGATACTTTGAAGGTTGAGCCAATGGGATTTGCTGATGGATTGGATGTGGGATGTGAGAGAAAGAGAGGAGTCAAGGATGCCCACAAGATTTTCAGCCTGGGTGAATGGAGAGTTGGCATTTCCATCAACAGAGATGAGATGGTACAAGTTTCTCAGGGCAGTCTAGGAGTTCTATCTGGACATACCAAAATTGGGATGCCTCAGAAGATGTTGTGTAGGAGTTAGAGTGAGGAGGGGCTGGGCAGGAGGGGTGAGATTGGGAGTCCTAGTTGGTAGATGGTGTTGAAAGCCATGTGAATAGATGAGATCTCAAAGGGAGTGAGTATAAATTGAGTTAGATATTTGTTGAATGAGTGAGTAAATACTCCTCCAGTGATATATTGGTCAAGAGAAAAGAGGGTGTTATCAGTGCGGGAGGTGAGTGTGAGCTGGGATCTGGCAAGCACCCAGGTGGAGTCTGTGCCTGAACTGCGTAGAACCCTCCTACTTTCGGGCCCTCACGCTACTGGCCTTCCTTTCTCTGCTACTTCAGCCACCAGCCAAGGAGGCACACATTGCACTTGCTCTTTCACCTCTAAGATCTTGCATGAGAAACACCTGTTTGGCCACAACTTGCTGTCTCCCCACCTTCCCGCATCTTTCCTTGACTGTGTTAATTATCCCCATTTTTTGTCCTCTGATCTGGCATGGACCTCAAGGACATTTCTTTTTGCAATGACTTTGCTGCTTCCCTAGAATCCTTTGCTTCCAAGCCAGACCCCAGTTCTGTCTATTCTTTGGAGTGTTACAACCTGAAGTGTGGTGTGTGGGCCAGAGCTGTTGGCATCACCTGGGAGCTTGTTAAGAAGTACAGAACCTCAGGTTCCACCCCAGACCTGAGATTCAGACCCCCTGAATCAGATTTGCATTTTCATAAGGGCCCCGGGTGACTTGTGCACACAGCAGAGTCTGGGAAGCTGTGCCTCTGAGTTGACTTCCTTCACTCCAAGGGGGCCAAACATTGCTGAAGAAACTCATGGATTCCAGCATAAAGTTGCCCTGGATTGACAATCTATGGAGTACCTAAGAGACGTCTCTGCTTTACTTTGGGGCTAAATAAGCAAAGGGAGAAAAAAGTAATTTTACCTGGTTTATGGGAGTAATTGCCTCAATCCTGAGAATTATGACATCCTTCTCCAAAAGAATGCAAAACTCTTCAGACTGGCATTTGAAGACATGAGCCTCACAATTAGATGTCCAGGTGAGGGCAAAAGAGACATCAGTCTCAGGGCCTTGTGAGCATTCTCTTCGGTGCACCAGTAAGAGGAGAGCAGGAAGGGCGTTCCTGTGGGGAGAAGCCCAGGAGACTCGACTGATTGTAAATGAGGCGGTTGGACTCAGGGGGCTTTCTCAGTGTCTTCCAGCCCTGATGGATGGTGATTACACACAGGTGAAATAGGGCATAGAAGAGAGGAAGTGCAGAGGATGAATACAATGTGTGTTTTTTTCTAAGATTTTACTTACTAGGCTGAGAGGGATGGCTCATGCCTGTAATCCCAGCACTTCGGGAGGCTGAGGCAGGTAGATCACGAGGTCAAGAGATCGAGACCATCCTGGCCAACATAGTGAAACCCCATCTCCACTAAAATACAAAAATTAGCTGGGCATGGTGGTGCATGCCTGTAGTCCCAGCTACTCGGGAGGCTGAGGCAGAAGAATTGCTTGAACCCAGGAGGCAGAGGTTGCAGTGAGCCAAGATCGCGCCATTGCACTCCAGCCTGGTGCCTGGCAATAGAGTGAGACTCTGTCTCAAAAACAAAAAAAAAAAAAAAAAAAAAAAAAAAAAAAAA